CTTTAAATCAACAAGTTTGACAATTTGAAAAGGGGAAATTCCTCAAAAAATAGAACATAAATTATGCAGACTATTAGAAGAAGAAGTAGAAAATACAAAAAACTCAATATTTATTTAACAAAATGAATGTTATTTAAAACTTCCCCCAAGGGAATGAAAAACATTAAATCCAAGATACTTGTTACCCTGGAGGAAGGAGAGGCGATAGGTGCTGTGTGGGCATAAGGGGCTACAAAGCTACTGCTGATATGCACTCTTTACCTTGTAGTGAATACACAGGTGTTCACTTTTTTATTATTCTTTACACTGTACCAGTATATCCTAAGTATTCTTTTGTATATATTCAATGTTGGATAAAATACATTTTAAAAAATACTAAGAAAAGAAAACATGAGTTATGCAGTTTTTAGCGTCAAAAACCTGTGTCCACATCTGACATCTGCCACTCTTCAGTTGTACGAATTCTGACACTTACTCAACTTCTTTGAGCTTCACTTTCCTTATCAAAAAATGGGGTTTGTAATATTAATAACTATTTACAATTGTAGTGATGATTTGATGCATGTAAAGTGACTTGTCTCTGGCACCTTCCAGAAAACTAAAACATTCATCCTATACATTCAACACACACATAACACACAATTTGCAGCTGCCATTTTGAATACACTGAATGGCAAATGCAGTTTGTCTTTTCCCCCAGGGAGAAGAGATATGAATCTCCTCAGTCTTGAAGAGAAATTGGTTACTTTCTTTAGCTGAAGAGGTGAATTGTCCTGTTCATTCCTTGTTCCTTTAGATGCTGTTACCTCCCTTGCCAATCTGAAGTGTCAGAGTTAAGTAGTAGCCAATTCCTCGACTTTTCTTGCTGCCTGAAATCCAGCTAGTACATGCTTAATAAATATTTATTAAATGAATGAATAATTGAAAGGATAAACTAACCACACTGGATGCTAAATATGAAGACAGAGGCTGTGGCCATCCTGGCCTGGATTCTTATCTGTACTTCTCTTGTCTTGAACATGGTCTCATGAAGTTTGCTCCCCCCTTCAGTCCCTGCTGCCTTCAGTCCCCACAGCTGAGGACACTCACGTCCCCCCTGCAATGTATTCTACTTTGACCTGCTCTGGATGCTGGAAATAGGTGTAGATGAGCCGAGAACTGGAAAATGCAGAGTGCTCTTGCTCAGACTATATTTCTGCTGTACTTCTAGGTGCTAGTCCACTGGAAGAGGAAGAGGCTTCACTTCCTGGTTCTGGCAGACTTTTCCCCTTCTTACCGCAGGAAGTGTGCAGCTGCTAGCAGGGTATGGTGGCATTCGCCCTCCAGTGAGTTTTGCTGGTGCCTCAGCTGATGATTTCCTGCTCACCAGGCTGGACTACAGCACCTCAGTGAACATTTCCACCATCCAGTGGGCCACAGTTACACCTTCTGGCACAAGGTCTGAATGTCAGCCTTTAGGGGAGAACTCTTCCAAGTTTGTTCCTTCCCTGAACCCTTCCCCTCAGCCCTAGAGGTAGACGCTGCTTCCTACATTATATTAGCACTCTATTCTTTAGAGTTTTCTTTACCTCCTTTAGTAGTTAACTACCTTCTATTAGTTACTGTTTGTTGATATAAAATTTCCCTGTTTGGGTATTTCCTGACTAAACCCTGACTGATTCACCTAGTAATGGCAAAGATGTGCACTCCCAAAGCGGGAGACTGGGTCCCTGTTTGCTCACATTTGGTGAACCCCTTCCTGAAGTGCCCCTCCCCATGAGAGAATGATATGTTACCACCATCTTGAACTTAGATAGGCCCATATAACATGTTTTGTCTAATAAAGTGCTAACGGAAATTGGTTTGTGTCACTTCAGGGCAGAAACTTTAATTGCTGGTGCATGGTTTGCTATATCTCTTTTGTCTCTGCCAAGATAATATTCCAGGTAAAAATTACTGCATCAGGCTGGGCTCTAGAGTGAAGATAACAATGAACAGTACCACAGGACATGTAGAATGAATGAATAAGCCATTGTTATTTGAAGCCAGTGAGATGTGAGATGTCAGGGTTGTTTGTTACTGCAGCATAACCTGGCAGATCCTGACAGAATTGCCCTCTGACTCAGAAATTCCTTTGGTAGATATATATTTTAAACCAATTTTTGCACAAGAAGACAGGAGATATAAACAAGAATGTTTATTGCAGCATTGTTTCTATTAGGACAACATTGGAAAAACTGTAAATATGCTCCAATAAAGGAAGGGATAAACTTTAGAATGTTTATAGTATTTAAATGTGTAATATTATACAGCACTTAAAATATTGGGTTGTTGGAAAAGTCACGATGCTTGTTTGCAACAGATGGCACTTGTTCATTTTTGGAAGTACTAGAGTCATTCACATCTATGTTATTACTATGTCATTTGACAGCTGACAGTTCTAGCTTCATTCTAAANTCTAGTGATTTGTTCCACAACAATGTGAATGTTCTTAATATTACTGAACCGTACACTTTAAAATGGTTAACATGGTAAATTTTGTTATGTGCATTTTACCACAATAAAAAAAGTTTTGAATAGTCCCTTTACAAAAGAAGATCTAAGAATAGCCAATAAGCACCTGAAAAGATAAACGTCATTAATTATCAGGGAAATGCAAGTTTAAATTTCAGTGAGATACTATTTTAGCATAGTCAAAATGTAAAAACTGACCATATCAGATATGAAGCAATAGAAACTCTCAAACAATGCTGGTGGGAGGGTAAAATGATTCCATCGCTTGGGAATACTGGTCATTCATCAAGTCAAACATACACACTCCTATGCCTCAGCCATTCCATTCTTACCCAAGAGTTACAAAAACGTATTTTCCCAAAAGACTTGTACAAGAATGCTTGTAGCAGCTTTCCCCCACCCCCAAAATAGCCCCTAATTGGAAAGAGCCCAAGTGTCCATCAAGAGGAGAAGGGATAAACAAATTATGGTCTATTACATATGATGGAATACTGTTCAGTGACACAAAGAAATAATTGCTACAGATACATACAATAACAAGGATGAATCTTAATAGCACTATGCTGAGTAAAACAAGCCAGACATAAAAGAATAAATACAGTATGATTCCATCTGAAAAAAATCTAAGAACAGGCAAAACTAACCTGGTATTGACAGAAATCAGAACAATTTGTTTGGCACGAGAATCTGGGTAAGCTATTGTCTGGAAATGGATACGAGGAGAACTTCAGGGATGGTGGAAATGTTGGACCCTGTCATTATGTGATAGCTACACAGGTCAAAATTCTTCAAATGATACATTTAATATTTATGTGCTTTACCGTATGTAAAGTATACCTCAATAGTAAGAAAATACTAAACCTTTTCTTTCATAGTATTTATTCAAATATGTAATTTAAAGTTTTTCCTTATTAATGTCTATCTTTCTATACTGTAGCTCAGACACTATTCTAACCTCTGGGAGTAAAACAGTTTATAAGACAGGCCAGTCCGTAATCTCATGGAATTTATAGTCTATAAAAGAAGGAGCCATATTTGTCATGTACACTATCTTATTCCTAAGACAGAGCCTGTTGCTTGGTATATATTTGCTCTCAATAAATATTTGTGGAGTGGATGAGTGACTAGAGTGTAGGGAACCAAGGGAAAATGTTAGGGTACTCCAAACTCATTCACTCATTTATCACTCTCTCTTTCCCTCTCTCTCCTGTCTATTTTTCTTCAATATACACTATCCACTCTGGTTAGTGTCTTGAGTGCCTATATACTGTATGAATGTAGAGATAAGGATTCAGAGCCTGGAATCCCAGATAAGTGGTGGAACATAGATGTATTCTAATTTAGATGGAGAACCATTCTCCTCCTTGGGAAGATAGAGTGCATGATCATCAGAGGGGAGGGCCAAGATTTTTATCTCACCATCAGATCGAGCTATTTGGGTTCATGCACTCTGCCTTAGGCCCTCAGTATCTAGCAGAGTGAATGTCATGTACTATCTCCAGAGCCTATAATGGCAGGGGTTCAATAAATGTTAAATAAGAAAGACATGCAGATATCAAAAAGAAAGATAGCAACTAATCATTATAGGTACTTACAATATAATTGAAAGATGTGTCAGCAAGCACTGCAAACTGACGGTACAATGTGTGCCTCGTAAACATCTCGTTCTTAAGGACATGAAAGCTGAAATAAAAGCAACCATGAAATTAAAATGTATAGAAATCATAGGATAAAGCAAATCAGTATTATGTTCATGTGTTAAGAACTAGAATTTTCAGTGTATAAGAAAAAAAAACAAGTAAAAATGTAAAAATACGAATATGAACTTATTACTTCTTTCATTTTTAAAATTACATCTTTTCCAGCCCCAAAAGGCACAGAAGCAATGGCAATACAGTATTAATGAACTCCACAAAGTCTAAGATTGTGGTTTTAAAAACATTTCTCCCTAAAATGAACCGGGATATCTTTCAGAAATGGCTATTTCTAAAACTAAGGCAATACATGTATAAGATGAGCCTGGAACATTTTATTTTTAAGGAAGTCATCAAAGATTATGTCAAAAGAACACAGTAGTCAATTTTAAGGGACTCCAGTTGACTTAAGATTGGCAAAATTAAGCATAAAAAATAATGACAATGTATTGAAGCACAACAAGTAAATAAAAATTTGGGAAATTCTCAGTCTATCTAGATTGCAAATGATGCTAAAATTAGGAGACTTACTATCAGGAAAGCATGCTCTGCAGAGAAAGCTAAGAGTATGGTGGACAACTTTTGCTAGCAAAGAGAAAGGAACACAGTATTTAGTTACACAGAGGGCTATTAGAAGAGATTAGGTGTATGACTCATGGATCAAAACCGCAATGAGGTACCACCACATAGTTACTAGGATGACTAAAACTAAAAAGACAGACAATAACAAATGTTGAAAAGGACATAGAAAAATTGGAACCTTTATTCATTGTGAAATTGTAAAATGGTGCACCTATTTTCGAAAACAGTTTGGCAGTTCCTCTAATGTTAAACATAGAATTATCATGTGACCCAGCAATTTCTT